GTCTTGACTTGAACGAAGGACCGAGACGTCTCGTCATCTCTAGATCGACCATGGGAACTGGCTGTGCTGCTGGTAGCATGTGCTTTGTTTCTTCGTCAAGAGCCATGGTGCCGTGTTTCGAATTTAAGGTGGGAATGTGAGTTGGGTTGGGATTTGGAAACGGAAACGGAAACGACTCGGGAGTCAATCGCGTCTTTTTGACGTGAGACGGTCTGTGTGAGTGAGGTTATTTTCTGCCCAATTTGGTTTGGCGGTTGTCAATGCCAATCACTTGTCAGCCGCAGTTAGGCTGAATCTGCAGATCCCCCCTTGGTCCCCTTAATTGAAAGCGGCTATGGCGGGCGATCATCGCCCCATCTTACGGTCTTGCCTCGACTCAAGTTGTAGAAAATGCTTGAATAAACGACTGGAGGTTTCTGTACCGGACTCAACCTAGGTACAAAGAAGAGGCAAAAGGGAAAATTGGAGGGCATTTCCTGATAATTTGATGCCGGTGGCCGAAGTAGTCTCCCGTCACACCAATGACTTACCGGCTCCATAATAGAAGGCGAAACGGATGCCGTTGGCTGGAGGTTAGCCTGGTTAGGTCAACTGGAGTTGATTGTTCAAAGGAATTGTGCTTGGTGGACATGGAGTCGACCCATGGCTCGAGTCATATTACCTAGGTAGGGATCTTTGTGATATCTTCGTAGAACAGCGATGTAAGCACGCATACAGCACCTTAGGTGGAGAGGCAACTAGCGGCTCACAAAAGTACCTAGTGATTGGAACAACAGGCTGTTTACAGGCTGTCCAAGAGAGGCCACGTGGTAACTCCCTAATTAAATGCGTGAACTTTGCACATTTCCACGCGCTTTTATGGGGTTAATTTCTTTTCTGAGCGCCCAGCCAGCAATGGGCAGCATGTACGAACCGTCCAAGAAGGAGAGCAAGGAGAAATCCCCATTCCTCAACCTGCCAGCTGAACTGCGAGTTCGAATATATAACTTGCTTCACGTCCCTCCCTACTTCCACTCCGTCCCCGCCTGGTGGTCAGCTGCAAAGACTTGTCATCACCAGTTTTTCGTTACGCTGCCTTTGAGAATACATTATCAATACCGGTCAACCAGATGTCCAGGGATCTCCTGACCTGCAAGCAGGTTTACCTCGAGGCTATCCCGACCTTCTATTCAAGAGACATATTCACCTTCAGCGACCCGGACAAAATGTTTTGGTTTATGGATAGAATTGGACCTACCAACACCAAGCTGATTCGGCACCTGGATATCTGCGTAAAGCGAATCTATACATGTAACAAGAAAGCTTTGTGGTTTCGTTTGCTCCATGTCCTTCCTACAGCTGCTACGGGTCTGAGAAGAGTGGCTGTGACTCACAGCCACTCTCTTCATCCCAACACCCACGTTCTACGTTTTCAAGCACCCTTCAGCCAGGCGCCGCTCCAATTTCTGAACGCGTTGCTCCGCTTCCACTCTGCGCTGCTCGGCTTCCACTTTGCGCTGCTCGGCTTCCACTTTGCGCTGCTCGGCTTCCACTCTGCGCCGCTCGGTTTCCACTCTGCGCCGCTCAGCTTCCACTCTGCGCCGCTCAGCTTCCGCTCTGTCTCGTACTACTTTCAGAAATGAAGTTTCCATATCCTCGAGAGTGGCGGTAAACTTGGCCGGATTGTGTCGATGGACAGCCCTGAGAAAGATGACTCGAAGGCGCTCGTATGTTATAGAAATCATAGGGTTTCTATCGAGGCGTTAGATTCATTCCGTTTCAATAGACAGAAGCGACATACCTTGTGATTCCAGCAAGCGACTCGGCGACTGAAGGGCGACAATATAATGCAGGCAAACCGGTACCACCAACAAAGTCGGAGAGATAGAGATCCACTTGCCCAAGGGGTTGTTGATCGAGACCGTCGTCGTAGTAGACTTGGTGATACTGGCTCCAGTAGCCAGAGGAGTTGTCGGCTACTCGCAGGCTAACCCACGCTTTTTGTAAACCGGGGTATTGAAGCTTGAGAATCAGGACAGCTTGGATCGGACTGTCCGGCGCATCGATGTACTGGCGTCCTTTCCTTTCCACATGCTGACGGGACTCGCTCTATGAGACCTCACAGACAAGGGATGGTATAGGACCAGCCTGGCCAAAGTAAACATCGCCTTGCTTAAAAAGCTGGTTGCCGTACTTGATCGAGCTGGTGCCATGATTGGCGATGGACTGGATGATGCCACGGATAATCTCGTTATCCGTGGCGAGAAGCGTGTTTGCAAGGCAAAGGTTGAGATAGTTATCCGAGTGTGGAATTTGGATACTAGCTCAAAGCAAAGAGGGGTTAACCTGGATTACAGACCTCTGCACGTTCACCTCTGTCGGCATGGAATGCGAAAAATCACACATGTGGCTTTTCGAATACTGAGTCTCTTTGAGTCGCTTTCCGAGTCACTTTCTGCGTGCATGCTCCCTTGTTTCATGCGGGCCCGTTGATTAGAAGCAGCTTGCCAACTTAGCTTAACCAACATAAACACGGTAAATACCACGAACAAAAGCAGCACCAGAGGATGGCTTCCTCGAGGTCATGAGACTCGCCCGCCTTCCCCACTCATCAGCCATCTTGGTCCGGGCCCAAAGCTCATCTTTCGCAGTGCAAATAAGGCCTAGAAATGCTGCATGTGGAGATCATACAGCAGATAATGCCATATACACCGATCATATTAACAATATGATCGGTGTATACTTGATTGACTCGTGCGCATCGCTGGCTGTGAGATGGAACTATGTCGTCTCTGAATTCGACCTGGGTAAGGACGTGGCTTTCGCTGAGGCCGTAGCGGGGCTGTCGAAGCTAGACTTGGAGAAGCTGAGGATGGAGGGAAACTACGATGACCTTTGGCCTGCGTACTTTAGAGAGAAGTTTGGGACGCAAGTGGTTGAATCTCAAGGAGAAATTCGTACATTAGACTTGAATCGAGGCATCTAGAAGGCACATAGATACCTGGGTAGCTTTCTCCGGGTCTTTCTGCATTGCAGTAGCATGATTACTACAATACACTCAGACTCAGCTATCCACAATCCCTCAAAAGGTAACTACACTATAGCGCGTATAGAATCAAATTGACACAACCTGATTTGTACATCCCATTCTTCTCTTCGTAACAACTTTCTTGTGATCACCTTGTTAATATGCCAACCCTCAACTTATCCCAAAGGTCCTCATACCCTTTAAATTTGAGGACATGCTCCACCGTAAACCTGTCAGCCACGCCAGAAACATCAGCACCCGCTTCCACCAACGCCTGTGCCACCTGGAGATACTCATTCCCAAACTCCTCCGCCGAAAGCCCAATCTCTCCCACATGCAGCGCCATATGCAAAGCCGTCGGGCCGTAGTGATCCCCCCCCGCTACCCTGGCATGCACATCAGCCCCATGCTGCAGCAGCAGCCTCACCACCCCGGGCTTCCCAGAAATGGCAGCGACGTGCAGGGGCTGGGCCCGCCAAGGATCGTCTCGGTCGACGCGCTCGAGCTCCAGATCACCGGAGCCCCAACACCTTGTCGTCGCGGACGTGCTCGCGCCGCGCAACAGGAGCGCCCGCGCGACGGCCTCGCTCCCCTCGTGCGCGGCGTAGTGCAGGGCTGTCCACCCGTAGGCGTCGGGACTGTTGGCGTCGACGCCGGCTTCGAGGAGAGCGGTGACCATGTCGTCGTATCCTTTCTCCGCGGCAACGCATAGTTCTGGTCGCTGGCCCGCTCGAGCGGAGTTGGCGCCGAGTTGGATTAGATATCGGGCTATGTCGACTCGGCGCTCGACGACGGCGTCGCGAAGGATTGGTTGGCTCCACTGGGCGGGTAGGTCGAGGTCGATTTGTAGATGTTGGGTCGTCGATGGGCCTGGTGAGTGCATGTGGTTTCCATTTTTGAGAGGACAAAGTAGCTTCAGAGTCTCTAGGTTGCCGGACATTGCGGCGTGGTGAACTGGCGTGAGGTTGCGCTTGTCCGGGGCATTAGCATCAGCTCCGTATTCTAGCAAACGCGATACCAGCTCATGATTGCCGGCTCTGGCTGCCAAATGAAGGACCGTCTTTCCAGTTTGCGTAGTTGCGTTGATGTTGCCCTCTCTTGAGAGATGGCAGCAAAGCTTCTCGTAGTCGCTAGAAAGATGTGACAGCTCCGATGCCGCCCCAATGTGTCGTATAAGCACTCTCAGGGAGTCCGTTCGAGCATGAACAGCCGAGGTGACAATCGAGTTGAATGAACCGCCCGAGGTAAGCATAGGGTTTGCTCCAGACTGCAAGAGGGCTTCTATGACTGCTTCGTTGTCCACGTTTCTGGCCGCCTGTAACAAAGCTGTCATCCTCATGCCTTCGTCTTTGTCTCCAAGAAGATAGCGCCCAAAACTGCTCCAAGCACTGTCCGAGATTTCGTCAAGTGCATCAGCCTCAACGTTCGCCAAGTTCAGTGACCGCAGAACAAGCAGAAATCGCTCAGTCATGACTGCATCGGGTTTGCCACTGGTCAAGGCATCCGTGAGAGACTTCACCAGATCCAGGATACTGTGTGCTCGGGGTATCGCTCCGTGGCCTAGAAGAGTGACGACCATGTCTGGCTTCATATCTCGAATTGCTAGGTGTAGTGAGCAGCTAAGGTCCTGAGAGAGTGGGATACGACCACCAAGCTCCTGAAATACCCCAAAGATGTCCCATTGTGCATTCTCGAGGGTCAGGGTAACTGGGTTTGTTGTTGGCGTTGGAGCGGTGTTGATGCCGCCAGAGGGTTGTCCCTGCCGTTCTCTTCGCTGGTACTGGTAGTAGCGTTTTCCTCTTGCCTCCAGATTAAGTATCCTGTCTGCGTTCTGGTCGCTGGAGCTTTCTATCAGCTTCGATAGCAGCTGCCTTAGCCACTCATCCCCGTACTCGGTAACGTGTCCAGCTGCTGCCAAGTCGTGAAAGGGTGTCCACCCATCCATATCTTGTAAGTCACTGCGTGCACCGGCTTTTAGCAGGCATTCTATGAGTGGGCCGTATGGATTGACGATGGCATAATGCAGGACTGTTCGCCCCTCCTTGTCAGTCAGGTTGACATCGGCCCCATGCTGGATCAACAGCACCGCGAGCTGCAGGGCTAGCTCTTTCCGGGGCTCGTAGCCAAGCGAGAGAAAGTCGAATATCAGGATCAGCGGCGTTGCCGAGTTTCCGTGCAATATGCTATAATAAGACAAGCGTGCTTCCGGGGCCGGTTCGGTCGCGCGGGCATTAGCGTTAGATCCGTTGTGGAGGAGGACGCGAACCACGTCGATGTCGCCATTCAAGACAGCATGATGAAGAGGTGCGAATCCTCGCTCGTCCACAGTCTCGAGCCTTGCTCCCATCCCGATGAGCTGCCGGCAAAATTCGGGCTCGCGGCAGAGGACGGCTGCGTGTAAGGGGGTTGCCTTCTTAAAATAGTTGACGTCGGCCCCGTTGTGGACCAGGAGCTTTGCAATGTCCATCTTTTTATCCTTGATTGCGGATAGCAGCAGCTTGGACTTCCACTCTCGTGTATCTTTCACGTCGTCCCCCAAGGGATTAGCCACATAACGCTTCGCTTTCATCCGAGTGCGCCATGGGTTGGAAATTGGGTTGTCGAACTTCTCGGCCGACCATATCTTGTTGAAGGACAAGTCGTCTGATATCGAGCGATCTATTTCGAGACAATTCGTCAGGGCATCGAAGATTTTGGTGTCGCCGATGCTTGCTGCAATTTCGACGGCGTTCACACGTCTATTGACAGCGTCCTGGTAAGTCAGATCTTTCAGAAGTGTCGAGGGGCACGGCTTCGCCCAGTTAGATGACTTGTGGTGTCTGAGTATCGCCTCGACGGCCTCGTAGTGCCGTTTGGAAACGGCCCAGTGCAGAGCCGTCCACCCGAGCACACTGCGGTGGAGATGGTTTGCACCATGATCGAGAAGCAGGCACACTACCTTAGCATGGCCGTGAAATGCGGCCCAGAAAAGGGGGGTCCAGCCTTGGGAGTCCGCGGCATCAAACTTGACATGGTGTCGCAGGAGGATGGCCGCCACATCCAAGTGGCCCCGATAACACGCCCAGTGTAGAGGCGTCCATTTCTGCGAATCTGGAGCCGACGCATCGGCATCTTCTTGGAGGAGCTGGAGAGTGGTATCTTGGAGATTCCAGTAGGCTGAGATATGCAATGGTACTTGGCCGGTGGGAATGGACGAGAAAACGGGCTCAACCAGGTCCTCGGGCAGGTACTTCGGGAAGTTGGAAGCCTGGAATGCGTTGCATCGAGCACGCCTGTTCTTGAGCAGTGTCATAATACGGCCCTGTGAGATTCTCTCGGCTTCTCTGGTTGTAACGTGACTGCCCCAGTACGAGGCTGCGTAGGAAAGAAATGGCATGCTTTCAAGCTGCTTGAACAATCGTGCGGCGCTGTCGAAGGTCTCTTCCCGGAGAGGACGCAAATTGAGGTATAGGAGGCACGTGTGTGCCATATCCGCGTGGGCATCGGAATCCGATGAAACCCTGGTGAAGAACTCATGGGCTGTGGTGTGAATGAAACCGACAGTGTTGTCGTCCTTGCTCACAGAAAGAATACCATAGCACGAGTTCAGAAGCCGCCCAGCATCCAATCTATTATCCGCGGCAATCTCGTCGGTATTATCTTCCACGGCAAAGGCTTCGATAACTTCCTCGATTCGGAGGCGCCGCATGGAGCGCGTAACCCATGCCAGCAGCCTGCGAGCAAGCGTCCTTTTCACCTTGGGTTGGGCATCAATGCGCTTCAATGTGGCGTCGTACGCAGCTTCGAGAGAATCCGGAAATGTCTCGGCAACGTTGCGCATCTGTCTCAGCGTCTGCTGCTCCAAGACGTTATCCGCGAGGAGCTTGGCAAGTAGAAAACTGCAAGAGTGTTAATCACCACCTGATACGACCACAGCTTAGCACAATGCACACGTACATGTCACCGCTCTTGGAGACGATGGTACTGATCAAACGGTCCGACTCCGAGGGGTCTTCGTCCTCAAGCAGCTCGTGGTGCTCGAATTGTGCTTTCAGATACTTGTCAATGTCCTCTAGCTCCGAGGCTACCTTGATTCTTGTAAGTTGTGGAAATCTTCTCATCTCGGGCATGTCTCGGCTCATGATCATGACGCGGGCTTTGCTGTCGACAATCGATTGGACGTAGGAGAGAAGGCGCCTAGGATATTCCAGCTCATCCGGAGCGTCAATAATCAGATAGGAAGGGTGGAGGGAACATGCTTCGGCAAGAATCTTGCATACGTCTTCCTCCTTTGCTCGTTTGATGGGGTCCGAGATGACGGTGCTCATCTTTGTGACGACATCTTCTCCAGCCTGCTCCACGAGCTGTCTGAGTAGCGACTGGAGTATAGCTAAAGGAGTCTGAGTATTACGAGAAGAGAACTCGCAGAAGTAGTATGCAATGGAGGAAGGCATTCCCCCCCGTTGTTCCTGGAGGTGGTCGATGACGATGGATCTAAGACGTTTTGGTTAGGTACCTAGTACTGATAAATTCCGAGGTTTGTCTAATTGTTGGAGACTCTGTCAGACTCACGCAAGCAGAGACTTCCCGACGCCGGCTATACTTTATCAGCAAACAAGCTAGTTATTACTAAATTAGTCTTTATTATTATTGGGGGACTTACGGGCTCCAGAGCACCATAGCAATCCTCCTTGCTGGCCGCACCAACTTTTGAATTCCTCAGAGCGAAGGAGCCATAGCCCTGTACCAGGGCAAGCCTCGGGCTTCGCACGTGAGTATTCGTTGTTTCCCAGCAGCATAAGAAGTTGTTGCTTTTCCTGGTCTGAAGACTGTTTTAGTAATTGCGCCTGCTATGGCTAGTCCATCAAAAAATGGCGCACATACCTAAAGCGACCTGTTCGAGCTTTTTGTACGTGACAACCGATGAATCCCTGAGACTTTTTAGCCCCATGCTCTTGTCATTCAGAAGTACCTGCATATGTAAACGAAAGAATGTACACACAAAATGACAGACGAGAGGTAATCACTGAATATATGGCGGAACCTGGTTAAAGTGTCGATATGCTTTTGAAAATCCTTTTCCAGGAATGGCCACATGAGCCTACTGGTTCTCTTTGAGAGATCCCCTTCGAGAACCTTGAGCTCTCGGTAGCAGCTCTTGATGATATTGTCAGAGAGCGAAATGGGTCGCTTTTGAGTCAGCCCCGATGCTTCAGAATCAAGTAAAGCCTGTTCAGACCGGAGCAGGACCGAGATGAAGGCCGACACTTCCTGAACGTAACGCTTCCGTGTCTCTCTGGCATTGGCAACCTCGGTTCCGTAGCTGTAGGTCAGCTTCGCGATTGACGCGGCAATTTGGACCAGGCTGGCAATGCTGGCGGCCAAGCCGACTGCTTCCATGGTGATGGGACTGACTGGATGACGAAGGCCGGGGTTCAGATTCAACTTTTCAAGAGATACTACCTATATAAGACTCGTAGGTGCGAATTCTGGCAGTCTTGCAGTGGGGACGAATGCGGACGATGATGATTCTGTCTATGTATTTTCAGATTAGGTTCTCCGATTGCCGTGATCGGTCGGGGAGGCCTCGAGCCTTAGCCGCAGCGTAATGCCGCGGCCCCCAACGATATTATTAGCTGAGTGAATAGCTGCATAAGCCCAGGTCCCGAATTATGGACTGCTTGGATGTACCTACTCTGAAGACGAAACTCGAGGCTGACCACCCTTCGATGTCGAGGAGCGTAGCCAATCTGGCATAGGTACGTACAAGAATTAGGGTTGGTTGGAGGAGGCTAAGATGGAAGGAAGCTAGGGCTGCACCCCCCAAAAGCTTCCCACACACACACCTTTGCCCATACATAATAAATAACCCCAACCCCCCGCCGCATGTTAAGATGTAACTTCATGTTGACTGCTCACTTCACAACCCCCCCTTCCCCACCCCCTTTTCCACCTCCCCACCCCTTTTTTCTTTCTTTCCTTTTTTCCTTCTTTCTTTCTTTCTTTCTTTCTTTCTTTCTTTCTTTCTTTCTTTCTTTCTTTCTTTTATAAATCACCCCCCTCCAACCTCCCCCTCACCGGCCGACTCGTCGCGGCCACATGCACCTGCCTCACGCACCTCAACGCGGCTTCAATCGCGCCATGGATCCAGCCATGCGTATAACTGGCATGCTCACCCGCGAGGAACACCCGATAGTTCTGCGAGTCGGCCGGGTACGCCCAGTCGGGCTCGCACATGGTCGCGAGGTACTGGGACTTCTGGCCTGGGCCGAAGTAGCAAAAGGCGCTGCCGCCCGCCAGCTCGTCCGCGGGGAAGGCCTGCGACGTGCCGCCCTCGAGTAGCTTGAGAGAGTTGGCCTCCGGAAACATGCGGTCGAGGTTCTCCGCCGCCGTGCGTATGCGTCGGGACTCGGGCATCGAGCTGAGGATGGTGGCGTCTTGCTGGAAGGTGTAGGCCGCCATGATGACGCCGCGGTCGGTGCCTTGGGTTTGGGTGTTGTTTTCGGTGACGGAGAACATGGTGTACCTGATGGGGAGGTCGTTGACCAGCCCGCCGTCGGTGCCTTGTTGGTGGCTGGCAAAGATATTTTCCCACCAGCGCTTCTGGTACTGCAGGAGGATCTTGGTGACTTCGACGTAGCGCACGTCGCGGATGGCTTGCTCCAGACGGACCTGAAGGGTTTGGACTTGGTGATGGTGCGCTGGGCTGTGTAGGGCACCGTGAGAATGACGTAGTCGGATGTGATGCTGTATGTGTTGTTGCCGGTCGTCTCATAGTCGACCCGGACCTGGCCGAGCTGATCCGGGGGGTCGATGTGAGCTATGTGTGTCACGCGGGCGCCATATGTGATGTTTTCGGCAAGGGATTCATTTCCGCCGTCCGCCGAAATGAAGGCTTTGGGGACTTGGTCCATGCCGTGCTGCAGCTGCTGCATGCCGGCATTCTCGCCCTGCTCGTTGCTCGAGAGGGAGGGGTCCTTCCAGGACTCAATGAAGCTGTTCTCGTACACTACGTGAGCGTTGCCAAGGTCGTAAAGCCTGATAGCGTCATTGCTCCACCCGGCAACCTCCTGGAGGTACGAACGAAAGGTGTACCTGTCGTACCTGTCGGTGATTGCCTGGAATGCGCGCTGAGTCTTGAAGTCAATATCGCCTTCGCTAGCATCATATGTATCGTAGAAGTCTCTAGTATTAGGCTTGACGGCTTCAGACAAGAGCTCGTCGCACGTTCGACCTCGCTCGCTTGGTTTCAGGCCTGGGTAAGACAGCGAGCAGCTCGGGGTCAGAGCTCCTCAACAGCCTGTTGAACTCGTCATACGTCAACTTGTCGCCGCCGTGGTAGTCCGAAAGGTAGATGAACTTGTTCTTCATCTCAAAGGGTAGCGATGAGTCGATATTAAATTTGTTGATATAGGCGCGCAAAAGAGAGTGATCGCGGGGGATGCCTGCGCAGTGCAGTCCCGGTGCGAAGAGAGGGTCCCGGAAAGTGACAACGCGGCCGCCCACTCGAGAAGACGCTTCAAGGATCCGGACGTCAAAGCCGGCCCGCTTCAGCTCGTAGCCAGCCACAAGGCCGGACATGCCTCCACCGACAATGGTGACCTGTGACGGAACGTATTAATGCCATGGGTATTAATATGGTAGGGAATATGAGTTTTTGATCAACATACCGAAGTGCCCGCCGGTACCCGCGGTAACCCTGGGCCATTGATAATTTCCATATAGACCTTGTTCTGCACGTCCTCGTCGGGAATCTTTCTCTTTGCAGCTTTGGCCGGTACGGGCTCAGCCGAGATAGCCTTCGAATTGTCGGACGCCACCGGCGCGCCCTTGTTGCCCAAAAGCAGGCCACGATGGGGTATGTTCTGTTCCGCATCCCGGGAGCGCGTCTCCGATTTGATGAATTTGAGAAGGAAGTTGAGGAGGGGGGCAGTTGTGGGAGATGCGACATCCTTAGGTGTGTGCTCGCGGATGTGGGAATCGTCTGGGTGGCAATGGAACGCCATGACTGCTCCTATGCTGAGTATTTCTGAACGGAACCAAAGAGGACAATCGTGTCTTTGTTATTGATCGTGGACAGAGGGTTGGGGCTTGGAGAGGGATATTCAACAGGGACTACTGGACAGCGCTGCTCACGAGTCAATCAAGTCAATTTTCGCACCGAAACTTGGCTTGCTTGAATATCACAAGGGCATGATTGCTTGATTGGAAATACTTGCGACTTGATGCCTGTCATGTCCCCCGCGCCAACGGCCGTTAAATATCAGCGGCCTCGTCGGCAGACACCGCTATCTTGAAGTAAACGCCGCCGAGGGTAACTGCGTCACGACGAACCCAGTTCTTCAAACATTGAACCATCTGGAAGGTCTTTAGGTCCATTGCGAGTCTCTGGCTAGTAAGAGTAAGCTTTGCCAGGCTGAAGGCTCTCTCGCAGTCCGCCGCCATCGCTGGAATTGAGAAGATATCCAGCGCCAGCGTACTAAGGGTTGGGAACTGTTGCCGACGACCCATCCACCAGGTAATAGGGTTGTCAACTTCGATAGGCAGCTCGGGACGTAGATATCGCTCTAGCTCTGTCGTATCCAACGCTCCATTTCGCAGGCGTATAAGATCGGTGCCGAGCCACTGGCCGTATTCGCCATCTTCCCGCTCGACCCGCCCCTTTTGTTGGCGGCTCGTCGGGCGTTCTCTGAGACTTTCTTTGGCAAGGCCAAGAACTTGGAAGCAGGGGAGGATAAGGTCGTGGACTTGGCCGTGTTGCTGCAGGCGACGGTAAAGGAATTGAGGAGGAGCGAGGGGGCGAGTCGACCTTATTGTTGGGCGGGTTTTGTGTTGCATGGGTGTTGGTGTCTCTGAGGTTCCAAATTTGTTTAAATCAAATCAAAAGTGACCTCATGGCAATTTGTGCGAAAATACACGGAAGGTGCGATCACCCTGAGTGAAGCGATGGAATTGCGCCGGCTTCGCTGCGTTCGTTAAGGTGGGCGGAAAGTTATCCCCAAATCAATTTCCCTGACTTTCTCTCTTTCTAAGCCAATGCTTCCAAAGTCTTGTTTGTCGTAGCTTCGGTGACTTGATAGCTCGAATTTGTATAGAATATTGTCCAAATAAAAGTAAAATAAAAAATGAATTGTCAGTGTTCCTACTTCCTCGTTCATTAAACACTGCCATAGCCTTCCTATCTTACACCAAAGTATCCAACCAAGGTAATTACATAACATCCTGATGAGGCCTGGGAGTACCAGCCTCCCTACTCTCAACAACAGACTTACGGCGTCACTTCATTGAGTCTTTTTGCTGAGAAAAGGTGTCGAGTCAGGAGTGAGGGGCAGACAGTATTCGTATACTAACAGACCTGTGAGGTTTATTTCCGGGTCCCTGGTCCCCAACCCCAACAACTCTCGCTTTCGGCCCCGGGAGAATTCATACCAGTGCTGACATTGATCTCCACGCCCTATTCCTCGGGATCCAACGCTATGCCTGAGGCACCGGGATATCCCCACGTTCAACAAACACACCCCACGGCATATGGCCCAATGAACTCTCGGCACTTCTACACGTTGTTCACCCCGACCCAACTCCTAGTCGGCACGAGTAATTACATCATCCAGACTCGAGCCGGGATGCACACAACTCGTGTAACTCTGCTTGCTAGTAATTGGCCAAGCTTGCAGATTCGACCACTCTTTCTATGCGCGATGAAATACAACAAACAGGATTGGAAGGTGGGGGAGGAGCTTCTCGGGAAAGCGCAGGGGAAGGCAACCCAGGTTAGCATTGAAAGATGCAAACCAACACAAGGTCCTGCCCTGAATCACTGACCGAGGGACGATTAATTATGGAAACGTGGGAAGGTGACGGTGGAACATTCGATGGGACTAGAAAAATGTTGACCAACTGGGGATGCTATAAAACACCATGGACGGGATCCGAGAATTGAGGGGATGTGCAGTTCAGTCGTGACTCGATTCGCCCTCCTCACCTCTGCCCAGCATCACCAACTAGCAGGGCTCCAAAATGCGTGTCTTATCAACACTGAGCCTCGCGACCCTGTCGGCGCCGCTGGCTTCTGCCACATTTGAGGGGAACCTCAACTATCACAGCCCGTCGCTGCGTCATGTCAACCTTGGAATTGATATTCCCGTCGTCTCGCGCCGCAGCCTGAAGCGTAGCGCCGTGCCGTTCAAGCCGTCCGAGCTCAACTTCACCCACGGTATTGCGTCTGGCGACCCTTACCCGGATAGCGTCATTCTCTGGACTCGGGTTGCCCCGTTTCTGGTCTCTGACAACAGCAACGTCACCGTGGAGGGAACCGTTGCTTTGTACAACCATGAGACTGAGCAGTATGTCAAGGCCGATCCCAACCCGATCTGTGTTGATTGGCAAGTCTGGGAAATCAAGTCCAATGGCCCCGCGGGCCCCGGCAAAGGTCCTAAGAAGCCGCATGTTGCCGCCAAGGGCACAGCTTACACGACAAGCGATATTGATTACACTGTCAAGGTTGGTAGAACCCCATCCCACCCAAACCCTACCACCCGAGACTGACAAAGAGACAGGTGGAGGCCAAGGGCCTTAAGCCGTTTACCGAGTACAACTACCAGTTCACAGTTTGCAAGTCCGACAACGCCAGCCCGGTGGGGAGGACCAAGACCGCCCCGGCAGAGAATGCCAAGCTGGACGAGCTCAAGTTGGCCGTCTTCTCGTGCAGCAACTATCGTAAGATTATCTTGATACTCTCTTTGAAACTGTCGAGTAACGCTAACCTACAATTCAGCTAATGGCTATTTCAACGCATACGGCAATGCCGCCCGAAAGAACAAGCATGATTATGTGGTTCATCTAGGTGACTACATCTACGAGGGAGCCCAGCTGGGTGAGCGCGCACACAACCCCCCGCGTATCATCTTCAGCCTGTGGGACTACAGAACCCGCCACGGACAGGTGGGAAACTCGGATGTGCTAGGTTTTGATGAGGAGAGATTGCTAACACAAAGCGCAGTACCGCACTGATCCCGACCTGCAACTCCTCGCCCAGAACTACGCCTGGATGCCGACTTGGGATGACCACGGTATGAACTGCGCTACTCATCCCTTTTGCCCATTTTTCTAACCAAAACAACCAATAGAGATTGCCAACAACGGCTACAGGGACGGATTCAGTGCTTTGAACAACACCGAGGAGTCGTTCCGCACGGATGGCCCTTCCATCTCCGTTGACCAGCGCAAGATGAATGCTGTGCGTGCCTACTTTGAGTGGATGCCCATCCGGTAAGTCCTTTTTCCCCTTTCCAGATTCCGCTCGGAGATAGCTTAGACCCCCGCAGCCAGGTCGACCTCGACGACAACCTCCGCATCTGGCGGTCCTTCAAGCTCGGCAACCTCCTGGACCTGATCATCCTCGACACGCGCAACTACGACCGCAGCATCACTAGCCTGGGCTGGAACGACCACTACATCGACACCATCCGCGACGACGCCTCGCGCACGCTGATGGGCTCGCGCCAGGAGAACTGGTTCTACAACCAGCTGACGCAGTCGTCCAAGCGCGGCGCCGCCTGGCGCGTCATCGGCAGCCAGATCGTCTTCTCCGAGATCGGCAACAGCGGCGACAACTGGCAGGGCTACCTCGCCAACCGCAACCGCACCCTGCAGCACCTCTACGACAACAAGATCGACAACAACGTCTTCCTCGCCGGCGACAGCCACCAGAACTGGGTCTCGGACGTCACCTGGCTCGGCAAGGCCGACTACGACTCCAAGACTGGCGAGGGGTCTGTCGGTGTCGAGTTTGCGGGTACCGCCGTCTCGTCTTCAGGCCAGAGCGGGCCCATCCTCGCCGCGAGGGAGAAAGCCCGCGCGCTGGTCGAGGCTCATGAGGTGCTGCAGTGGCAGGAGGGGTATTACCGCGGGTACTATGTCCTGCAGGTCCGCAAGGAGGGCGTGACTGCTCAGTACTTTGGTGAGTTCATTCCCATACCCGTAATAGTGCAGTGAGAAAGATTGGAGTTGTAGAAACTAATGCCCGTCGCTTTGCTAGGCTCACCCAGCGTCGCCACCCTCAACGCGTGGGATCTCCCGCTGGCCAACTTCACGGTCGCGTCGGGCAAGAACCACTTGTCGCGCCCCATCGGTGGCGGCAATGTCGAGGCTGGGTTCGTCCGTGGAGGTAAGACCACCGGGACCAACGTCACCCTGAACACTGAGACTGGGAAATGGGACACTATTGGGTTTGAGAACATGTTTATTCCCAAGAAATAAGTAAGCCCTGGACCGGGTTGGCTGGGAGCGAATGTTGAGTATCTAGTACTATTACCAGCGGTAGTATCTTAAACCCGGCAGTAAAATAATATCATTTCTCGCTGAAATTTATACAACATGACTCCTAGGTATGTGCCTACCTGTCGGGGAACTATGGACACAGGGGACCGGGTTGGGGGGATTTGAAGGCCGTAGGTTAAGGTGGGTAAGCACCTGGTTAGTAGTAGTAACTACGAGATGTTTGGTTCTCTACTGCCAGCTTGGTTGTTCTTTACCGCTACTAATGGCATTTGATGGCTTAGTCTACTGATATCGTAGGGTAGCTGCTGGCTGGCTGCTGGTAGGCTACATCTACGAAATAGTATCATCGCCACTGGCTAACACTACTTATACGTTCTACTGATGAGATTTAAAGTAAAGTCCCCTTCAAGGCGGTTTAAGTTATAGTCCCTGAGGACCTATGGCACCAACCGTGTAAACAGACCTGTCACAGGCATAGCTGTGACATGTAGTTGTAGGGTTAGGGTTTCCCCGCGCACGGGGCATGTGGGCGATTGGCATGTGGGGCTCTGCAGACCTGCGCAGGGTATATCCCACACCCTGCGCAGCCACCCACTCTTGCACTCTTCGTGCAACCTTGTTGATAGCTCCCATAACAAGACCAGATGACATCAGTGGATTTCTAGACTAACATCATCGTTGTGATGCGTCAGGGTGTGCCAGTGTGGGCCGGACCCCAAGGGTAAAATCCAGGTTAAATTCAGAGGAACCATCCGTTTGCTGTATAGACTGGGTAAACCCGTCTCCGATAAAGAGTCGCATTTGAAAGTTGAAAACCCCGTGGACTTGGTTCTCGCACACAACCAGACTGGTAAGGAGGCGTGTTACATCGTCTTTGAGGTCACACTCACGTTGTCTCCTCTTGCCTCTCGACGCTCTTAACCCTAACCCCATGGGAAACGAACGCTGACATGGGTCTGGCCCGAGTTAGCCAGGTTCTTGCTCCCATTGCTCAGAAGAAAGCCGATCGCTTGCTGCAGCCCAGGCAACTTTGGCTCGTGGCGTGCCACTCGAACGCTGCCGTCGCTGTGATCAGCAACTTTCCGGCAACACCACACGTGTGACGACAAAGTGATTGCTCGGAGAACGGACCGAATGGAGTATTTTCGTCACCGCATCTCCTCGTGCTTTTTTCCTCCGAGCATCACGCGTTCTTCAAGGGATGCCCCGTTTGCATTTCTGGGTCCGTTTAGCGTCTGCCCAAGGGGCGCTCTCAAGGTGCATCGCGTCACAAAAAGGGAAGAATCCCAAGATTTCATCACCGTTAGTGGTTGCCATGCGCTGCTGGGAAGGCACAGCCAAGAGTGCCAGTGACGGGAAGAGGGGCGGACCTGCGGACGACAGGGGCAGATGCGGGTCAATGGCGGGGAATGCGCGGGCTGGATGATGCTATCCAATAAAAAGCTTGCCTTTGCCGCTGGGCCCGCCCGCGAACCCAAACTGATCTGGCCAACCATGGGAGAGGACGACCTTGCAACTCACATTCCTCTCTCCCAAGAACGGGCAGCGGGCGTTGGCGAGGTCGCTCACAGGTCGCACAGCGCGGGCGCTATTTTCGCCGAATCCTTGCCCGTCATGCGAGCGCAGCTGTCCCTGAGCAAGTCAGAAGCGACTTCACACAACGGCGGCCAATGAAGGGCCCAATGGCTGCAGCGCCAGTGCCGAGCCGGCCGCCTACTAGCCCATTGTCGCCCACTCTCGCCCACTTTCGACACGGCTTCCGGCTCGCCTGCACTGGTCTTGCGTCTCAACAGCCGCTATATACCCAGTCTGGCCCATTGACTCGCAGTGTCGTGCTCCTGCTGTTACCTTATTTGCTATAGTCAGTAATTGCGTCCTGCGCATCTCAATCACATCGTGTTTCGGCATGGCGAGATACCGTGGTCCATCCTTGAACTTTGACGTCTCCTTGCGACGCCCCCTCCCTTCGGTATCTTTGACCCAGTCGTTTAACCACCATGCCACCTGGCGTGCCAGTCTATAACTCTGTCTTTGTTCTTCTGCTCACGGCTTCGTCTAGGACCCCTTCCTGTTCCGCTGCGCCGTGGACCGGACAATTGTCGCGTCGATTCAACTTAGTCCTCGATTATTCCCCCGCTCCATCACCCGAGGACGGCCCTCCAGCATCCGCCGGTGCCCTTCGCGATCCCAAGTATCTCCCGGCTCAGATCGGTGGCATTGTCGGCGCCTACGCCTTCTCGCTGGTGCTGGTCGCCCTTCTTCTTCTTGCTCTTTCCAAGAGACGCCGCGACCACCTGCGGAACCGTGACCGGCCTCCTGAGGACGAGAGCATCTTCTTCGAAGAGTTTAACCCGTTCCCCGACCCGTTCTTGCTCCAGACCGAGGAGGACTACAAGAGACAGCTCGAGGAGTTCCAACGACTGGAGGAGATCGAGCACTTCCAGCATCAGCAGCACTTCCAGCAAACACAGTTCCAGCACCCGCAATTCCAGCCTTTCGAGCACTCCCAGGATCGGCAATACCATCACCCGCAGTTTCCACAACCACAGTTCGAACCCCAGCACGCCCAGACACTATCCCTCCAGATCCCAACGAGCCCGATTAGGAATTTCTCACTCCCATCCCCTTCGCCTTTGAGCCCGACCAGGACTGGCCCGCTCAGCCCGACGAAATCGCAGCGTTCGGTTTTCACTGCGCCCTCGCCGACTTCGACCATCCTTGCCCCCGGGATCGATCTCTCAGTGGATCAGACGGTCGTAGGCCGAGACAGAATCATGGCGCAACAACAGTTAGAGGAGATGTACAAGTATGTGATGGAGCAGGAGCAAGCCAAGGCAGAAGGGCGAGAGTACCATGGGCCGCAGCTCACTTCGCCGGCGTCCAACGCGATGAGCGCAAGCCCTGCCAAGGCGGGTGGCCTGAAGAAAGAGAAAAACAAGCCGACGAGCTTGAACCTCGCCCAGGATGAGAAGGCGCAGTCCCGGAGCTCTTCCATATTCTCCTTCCTCAAGTCTCCACGCAAGAACAAGATGGGCGCGGCGGGGATGAGCATCTCATCTCCCATCATGACGCCCATGTCGGGAACTTTCCCGCAGCACGACGACCAAGAGATGAACGCCATCCAACCCCGCTCACTATGCTCCTCCCGCGCCGCCCCCTGTTCATTCCGACCTCCCCCTTCCGACGGGCAGCCGCTTCGGCGGCCGGCGGCAGGCAGCCACCTGCCCCACCCCTGACATCTCCCCCGTCAGCACGCAGAGCATCGACTCGCGCATACGACGCCGCTCGTCGGCCTACCCCCAACCCGGGCCCGCCCGTCGCGAATATCTGTAGCGCGAAAGTCCGTTGCTTACGACCGTATCTCCTACCACGCGGGCGACATCTTCTACTATTGACACATTCATAATCAGGGTGACAAGAAAAAATCTTCGGCTTCTACTAAAAATTCCTCCACCAAGATTTCAGCCTTTCGCTTTTCCCTTTTTTCACGCATCAGCTAACTTTCCAGGTTCAAATCAATTTTCCTATCTCTCTTTTTTCTCTTTCTTCTTTTTTTTTTTTTCCTCTTTTGGTTGTAGTTATGGGTGTTTTTTTGTATTATAATATATATTTATTTATATATTTTGCTTTCTTATCTTTCTTCTACTCTACCCTCCCCCCCCTCCCTCCCCCCCCCCCCCCTCCCCCCCCTCCCCCCCCCCGCTGTCCCC